GAGGCGCTGGCGTGATGCCAGAATTTTAGTCCACGCCTTCCGCCAGAAGACGGCTGGATAGCTCGTCGCTTGCTGATAAAGATTTTCCGTCGCACCATCCCCGCGCTCGCTTGCAAGCCGTCTATCACGACCTCACGCCACACGCATCGCAAGGCTATCGTTGGGCGTAAGAAGAGCATGCTGAGCCAAGCCACGGACGCGCCAAGATGACGTGCCCGCTTCCTTTACTGGGTCTCTAAATAGCACTAGGCTTACCAAAGTTTGGCGCCTCAGCAACCTCAAAGCTCATTCCCTGACGCCAGCTCAGCTCCACTCCACCTTCCTGCTCGCGCGGAGAGACAATCTATTTCGCATTACCGGTACATCTGCGAACAGCCTGTATTGATACCAGGAATGAATCCTGGGAACCATTCTTCTGGTAACTCCAGGCAAGTCGAAAAGCATGGAGAACTAATTTCGCGCCAGCACTGCATCAGGTTGAGGAGAAAAGCTGTCAATATGCATTCACTAGGCTGTGTAGTAGCACTGCAGGTGGCGCCAATATCCATGGATGTCACACGTATCCATCAGCACTAAGGCACTGTCCAGCATATCCAACCCTCCTTCTTATTTCCTAATCATACCTCACTTCCCGCCCCATGTTATTTGTCGGTATTTCCTGTGTACAGTTACTGCGCCTTGACTGTGCCGTAGGATGGTTGCGTCTGCGTTATCAACAATAGCGGTAATGATGATTGGAGAGTGAGGCCAGCAGTGACTACATGTGGTGGTGGATAAGGGAAGGTGGTCTAAACTGCGGCTGTGGGGGCTGAAATTTAGCGTTATGGCTTTTTGCCAACATGCGAAGTGATCTCTTAAGTGGATGTTCAGCTGTCTAGCTTGTTTTCGCCTGTTTCGTTTTCCCAATTGCCAGCCCGTCGTCCTACTGGAATATATTGCTCTTCACCGAGAACCGGGATCGGGAACAGATTGACTTGAACACCGCCAGCCTGACTCTGGCATACAGGCTACTGAAGAGCTTTTTAATATATCTTACACACCTTACTCTAGCGGTCGACGATGAGACGCTCGTGGAACGCGAGGCTGGCAACGATAGTCGTTGCCAGTCAGCTTTTCATCCCAACGACTGTCGCACAAGGGATTGCTACTTCATTAGCCGCTGGTGGCTCATCGGTATTGCCTACCACTATAACTGCTGCGCCGTCAGGCTCAGCATCGACACCAAAGCCTTCATCTGAGCCAAAGGTCCACACAATTACAGCTGGCGCCGGAGGCTTCAAGTTCACACCACAAGAGATCAGTAACGTCTCTGTCGGCGACATCGTTACATGGGAGTTCTTTCCGCCTGACCATTCCGTCGCGAGAGCAGAGTTCGGAGCAGCATGTATGCCCTACGAGGATACTGGAAGGGACAAAGTAGGATTTTGGTCCGGGACACAGTGGGTGAATAACACAAATGAGGTTTGTTTCTCTTCAAATCACCCGGCGTACGCTAACTTTCACCTAGCTTACATATTTCAACGTGACCATCAATTCAACTGAGCCTATATTCTTCTACTGCGCGGCACCAAAATCTTGCACAGACCAGCATATGGTTGGTGTCATCAATCCCAACTCGACACAAACGCTCGCGTCGCAAGTACATGCCGCAGCACAAGCAGACTTTCAAATAGAACCTGGTCAACCAATACCTCCCGAAGCATCGTCAATTCTCTCCAATCCGTTAACGCCAACTAGTACTTCCGCACCTGATAATGGTAGCAGTGGAGGAGGTGGCCACGCACTATCTACAGGCGCCATTGTTGGTATAGCAGTCGGAGGTGCCGCCTTCCTGATTCTTTGCGCCGCGCTCTTCTTCTTCGTCGGCCGCTCCAAGACTCTCAAGGAAACGATCAGACGCCAAGATGCTACGAACAACCCCCATGACCCACATATGAGCCAGCAATACGGCTCAAACTACGGTGACGGTGGACTTGCATCACCTGGATTCCAGCAAGCGGGTTCTGGCTATGCTACGCCGCCGCCAGGACAATATGCTGATCATAGATTCGGCTCTCCGCCACCACCGCAGTATGGACAACATAGTGTGGGGGAGCAATATCCGAGCGGATGGACGAGCCCGGGACCGCACCATGGACATTTGAGCACAATGAGCAGTATGAGTGGAATGAGTCAACAACAGTAAGTATCACCAAGCGACCGCTACGATCATTCTGCATGGGGAGAAGTGATGAGTCTCTGTCAGGTGGAGACTTAAAAACAACGCTTACAATATCTATAGACTTGATCAAATAAAACACGCACAAATGAACACGCAGCCGGTAGTGGCAGAATTAAATAGTCCGCCGATGGGACAACAAGGTTTCTCGGCCGAACTAGAGGCACCCAATCGAGACAAAACGGGGAGGTGAATGGGTTGAGTGTGTTTTGTTTCAGTAAATGGTTTTCGGGAAGATGTGGGATACCTTTTCTGGAGTATTGGGAGGCGTTTCGGCTTACTTTCACTATACACCTTGATACGATGAAGGTCGCCATGTTTCTCTAGGCACCCTGCATACCATAGTAACACTACCGAATAATTTTATACCATACAATACTTGAGTACCCCCCAGGCTAGCCTATGTTGTAAAGTATAACACAGGATACGTAGTCTTGTGCACAGCAGGTGGCAGGTGCTACACTCTGAAGAGCTGACGCGTTGCACTGGAAGAGAACTCAGCGAGTTTGACCGATGAAATGCGTGGTAGTTCTGGTTTAGGGAAGAGATTTCGTGAGACAGTCGAGGCGGGGGACGACTTGGAGTATGATAGATGCTTGACTTGATCGCCGCTTCGGAGTCACCATGATGCACAGTAGCAGCTGATCGATCACAAATACGTTGAAAAACCGGTGATACTGCAACTATCCCGATGCAGTACACGATAGCACAGCGTGTTTGCTTGGTCCAGACGGCCGTATGTATACGCATCGGCCCTTCTTAGTCAAAGGTCACCGAGGGGACGGACCGGCATCTAGACGTCGTCGAGTGAGAGGGTGGTATTGACCAACGTGCTTCGGCTACGTGCGGCTAGCGGCAGTTCCACTATCAGGGTCTCTAGTGCTAGGGCTATCGCGGATTCGCGGACAGATAACAGAAGTGCCGCGGATTAGCTAATGAGGCTGAACGTCTATATGTCGTCACTGCTGACGGTGAAATCGTGCAGTGAAGGAGATATAGTCGCTAGGTAGACAGGATACTTGAGACACATCAAGGTCATGGTTTGGTGATATACAGGTTGAAAGACAGTGGTAGGGGACGAACAAGGTCCTGCAGGTGGCTTCATAATGGTTCGGTCAAGATGGACCGGTAGGCCAGTCGCAGTACAAGCACACAAAGCAAAATCTGTGTCAACGTTTGAGACTAGCGCGGGCGGAAGCTAAAGATTCAGGTTCGTCATTTTTCTGGAATCTGGAATGGCCGGCCAGGAGACATGCTCTCCATATTGATATGTTGGGCTTAGCCACGGTCTGATTAGTGGTGGGCTGGTCCGGCGTCGAATGACGGGCAGCATGTAGGCGCAGACATTGAGGGGATTGCGGTGAGAATTACTCATTCTCATGCAGAATTGGCAAAAAGCGGACAGAGGCACAGCCTAATATCTGGTCTATCGAGCCAGCGACTGATGCAAGGCTTGCAATGCAATGTCAGCCTACTGAAATCCCCGGACGTCACACGTGGTGTGCCGGGCGCTGATAGGTATCGTCTTTGGCCAGCCAAGCCCTCGCTCACAAGGAAGACCGGCATCGCAGCCCTCCACACTCGCCAGATGAAGCCTCTTCCGCGCCTGGCTTGGATGGTTCCCTCCTTCTCCACGCCGCTGCCAGAAATACCGTGAAAGTAGCCAGGCTTGACTATGATGCGCATTGCGGTTGCCCGATATTGTCAACTTCCTCCACCCTAGGCACCGCTACCGGCCCTCGACATGATCACATCCTCGCCCACGATATCGCAACCTCCCTCGCCGAGCACTACCTTTCACACGCCCAGCCATCGCCCATACCATGCCTCGAGACGCACGTCGACATCCTCGCCCCGCTTTGCCGTGACCACAGCAGCAGCACGACGATTTGACGCGCCGTCCAACTCTGCGCCGTCGCCTGTGCCCACGGTTGCGTCTTCGCCCCAGGGTCCGAAGAGGAGCTACGTCGACAGTGGCACCCAATTCGTGTCTTCGCCTCAGGGTCAGAAGAAAAGCTACGTCGACAGCGGCACCCAATACACCCCCGGCCTGTCCCCCACCAATCGACCCGTCAGCCACATCAACCTCACGACCAGCCACGGAGACGGTGACGGCAACGGCGACGGTGCCCAAACGAACGCCATCCCGGCTCCCTTGAGCGCTGCTGCCATTGCGTCTGAAGCGCGGGGGATTGCCTCCGCCGCGCCTGTCGTCACGGAGCCCCCAGAGCCTCAATTGCGGGTGACACCGCAGCCTGCTACGCCCGCGCAGAATGCACAATCCCAGAGTCGGCGCACGTCGCATGAGAGCACGCGCTCGGCGGTAGAATCGGCTGGAGTCACGAGAGAGGCAAGCACTGTCTTGCAGGTGCCTGCCTCGCCGGCGAAGAGAGCCCGGCCGGAAGAGCCGAGCGTCAAAGTTATGCCCCTCCAGTACGAGACGTGTGACGTTAAAGATCTCGGCATCCTCATATCTGATATGCTTATGGAGTTGGTACGGCTCAACGATGGGTATCCGCTGCGGGATGGAACACTCACTAGGTTCCATTCGAGGTGAGTGCAGCCCAAGAATGACTGAAAGAGCGCTTGCTGACCATGACGCCTTACAGAGCCCCACCAGGGATTTCTGTTCGCGACTACCTCTCTCGTCTCATAGTGCACGCTACACTGTCTCCACCAATTCTCCTCTCCATGGTCTTCTACGTCGACAAGCTGTGCGCCATGTACCCCGCTTTCACAATCAGCAGCCTCACCGTCCATCGCTTCCTGATAACGGCGGCTACGGTCGCGGCCAAAGGCTTGAGTGATAGTTTCTGGACCAATAGTCTGTATGCAAGAGTTGGAGGTGTCAGTGTCCGCGAGCTGGCGCTGTTGGAGCTTGAGTTCTTGAGGAGGTTGGAATGGCGGATAGTCCCCAAACCAGAAGTGCTTGTGGACTACTACAAAGGCTTGGTGGACCGCGGGCCAGGATACGTCATGGAGAAGGAGAAAGAGAAGGAGCAGGAAAGAGGCCCATCTGTCGACTCAGCCCAGGTCCTCTCGGCGACCGGAATCCACACAAATCAATCGGGCGTATAGATGGCAGGCGTACAGCGGCAGAGGGGTCATTGTTTCGCGTCTCATAACCGCTTTACGATGCCTATACAAATGCCACTAACAACTTGTTTTGTTGATACCACCATCACTGTGGATCGGGGACCGTATACTTGCAAGCCACGTTATATGTCTCCAATACGTAGCCACCCCGTGGTTGCGTCTGTATGGAAATCTGCAAAGAAGAACGACTGTTGTGCGGTGAGCTGGCCAACATGACTCGGCAAGCAAAGGATTTGACAGTGTCGGCCAACGGGGGCACTCAACGAGCTGCACAAGACAGGATTTTACACGATTGGGGGGGCTCGCGTCACCAAAGAGGGCAACGACAGGCATGCTTTGTATGCCAACACCACTGTTCGTCATTTCGGCGCTGCCAGCAGCCCCTGGCATCGTCCAGAGCGAGATTCGGCATTGACACGAAGATGCGGCAGGATGCTGCATCTGCAAGAGCGCGGGTCCCGCATGTACTGTACATGCGAGCAGAGTCGATGTCAGCGCGCAGGTGCATGCGCTGCAGGATGGAATTGAGTAGCAGTTCTATTGGTTAGATAGTAAGAATAGCGGAATAAAAGACGCCGTTAAACCGAAATGCTGCTGTCTTGTGTAGAGCACCTGGCGAGGGGATGGCACCTGAGTGATGAAGCCGCTAAGAGCATGCCGTGGGTAACGTGGACGAGTAAGAGTTGGCTTAGCAGGCATACCCTAGTCGATGCGTGCACTGCTTCCAGAATGAGGCTAACTACTCCACCTTCTATGGCCGTCTTTACGTGCTATCGAGCCATGTCCGCTGCGACGACGGAGGTATTCACTGAAGAAGTGAGGGCGTAGGGAGGGTCGTTGACGATATGCCATCCCTCTGTCAACGACATCGTTTGAGCGACCCTGACCCAGCATTTGGAAGTGACTTGAAACCATCTCTCCTCTGTTCCCCCACCCCCGCTACCTTCTCCGCGCGTCTTCCCTGACGAAACCGCACTTGAGAGGTCTTGTGCCTGCGCTTACCTCGACGCCTTCGCGATTGAGACGTGATATCCACTATAGCCCGCGGTAGACGCGTCTTGCTTCCGGACGGCAGCAGGGCAGTACTATGAGGGTAAGTTGGTAGTTGTCAGGAGAGCACACGAATTGCTTATCCGCCATGTGTCTCGCTTGTTACAGTTTCACTTGTCCGTCTCGTCAGGAACACTCGGCGCGTGCTCGCCTTGCTTGTCGACAACCTCGCGACATGCTCCTGGGCCACCTCACAATCAACCCGCCACTAACTTGCAGCAGAGATCAAGGTAACCTCACCAACAAAGAGTGCTATGCGTAAGAGATGAACTCGGAATTCGCCCGCTGGGATGTTGGCAAGCACCAATACGACAGACAATGGGACGCGCGACTGCCTGAAGCACATGCACCGCCCTGCGCACTCCCGTATGCCTTTCCCGAGCCCTTTCCCCAGCTCTCGAATGGCTTTCAGCAACTGCAACTGGGCAAGGCCCCGCGAACACGAACCACGCCTGTCGTCTCGCGCACACGCATCTCGAGACATGGCTCGCAGCCGAACCCTCCTCCCACACGACCCTCGTCTAGTGGGGGCGAAGGCAACATGATCCCATACCACAACCCTACGCATACACGTCGATCCGAGTCCTACTCACACCCCTCCCCCCTCGACGACTTCCGCAAATCAAGACGATGGCCACCGAAAGGCTACAGATCCGAGGACGCATTGCAGCCGGCAGAGGCAGAGGACCTGATATGTGCTGGAGCCTCGTCATTCAAGGGATACTCGGATGCGATAGCGAATGCGCCCGCTGGGTACAATCGCTTCTATGCCGTCATGGATGCCGAACATCAGAGTCGAACAGACCGCGCGCCATTCCAGCAACAGGCATATCGCGACATCTCGCTCAACATGACAGGCTCATCCGAAAGCCAGTTTCCATGGTTGGCTCATGAATACCCTTGCATGGCTTACGCATTCGGAAAGAGTGCTGGGACCACTACACTCAATTACTGGGTTGGCAAATCTGGCAGTAGCCATGCTCCAATGCAATATATTGGCGAGGAGAAGCCGCGCAAGATCAAGCTCCTACAGATATTGGACCGGTTACAGAAGCTAGAGAGTGGACTCAATGAAGATGTCAGTCTACAGCCATGTGCACGGTCTTTATGGTTCACATGTCCCTAACTTTTGCTCTGACAGGACCCCGAGGAGTTGTATCACTACTTGTACGGAACGCTCATTGAAGACCCCGAACGATATGACGAGGAACGCCGTCATATTGGGATTGAACAGCAGATTACAGATCTCATCACAGTACTAAGTGATCCGCAGTGGATAGACTTTTCGCTGCCCAAGAACCAAGTTGTCGCAAAGTTCTTTGACTCGGATGATCAGCGAAAGAAGCAAGACTTCTTCCACCAATTGCTGCTCTCTGTGGAACTATATCTCAGGATTCATTCCAAGAACCATACGGACAAGGCGAAACGTAAGCTGATAATGCATTTGCCTCCAAGGATCACTTGGGACCTAGCTGTTGCGCAGCGCTGGCTCGAAAATATGGAGATTACAAAGACACGGACCTCGTCCACTCAAAGCACCTTTAGTTTTGAATTGAAGAGCAAGAACAGGCAAATTGAAGCATTGAGGATATTCGCTGCGACGCTCAAGTGGCCTAACATGGACGAGATCGAGTACGTTCTAGAAGAATCAGACGATAAAGAGAAGGCGCTCGAGGACCGATCTGCGGACGCAATGTCCTGGTTTTCTGGTATCATCTTACCAGGCCGGACTCTCCCATGGCTCATTATGAACAGTCTGATCGACTGTGATCGGGATACTGGTGTTGCACTCAAGTATTTAACGCACATGCACCAAGCATCTGGATTTCAGTACCGAGCAAATACTTACTGGTCTTCGCAATGTATTGTTGGAAAAGTACTGGGAGCTGCACGTGGCGTGAAGCAGATCGCGGGATGGATAGGGCCTTGCATCTATACTCCGGACCTCAAGCGGACTGAGTCTGTAAAAGTCAGGCAACAAGAGTCCCCAGACCCTATCTTGGTAGAAAAAGATGTCGTCACTATGGACGTGCGTACCAATCCTCTAGGCCCGATAGAAGAGGACGCCGATTACCCTGTTGATGACTACGAAGTACCCATGCCGGATACCGAGGACGTCACAGATCTGATTCGGATGGAGAAACTTCGCTTCGTACCCGTCAAGAATCAATCAGAAGGCACTAGACATGCCACTGGCCCTCCAGTGGTCTTTGATGCGGCTATCTCATTTGCATGTGGCGGGGAGAGCTGGCCGATGAAGCTGCGATACGATGTCAACTTCATCAATGCTTTCCCGTGCCATCAAGGTCCCCATGGTACGTTTTTTACATGCAGTAATTGACTAAACAAGTTCTAATCTTTCTAGTGCTCTTCTATGACTACGCCTACAAAGCCATCAAGATTGATGATGGTCTCGTAGACATCAAGGACTGGGGTTACCAATCGGGCCGCACACCACGCCCAACTTCGTCCAAATCTTCGCCGGGCAAAAAAGCCTTAGCATTACGTGATGAGCTGCAAAAGCACACTGCTCACGAACAGGTCACGAATGTACTTGCCATCGAGGCCCTCGGTGTCAGCGATAACGAGGTCTTCGCGAGAGCTTGGTGCGCACATCATGGCCACAGCGCCATTGTAGCGAACATCAAGGAGACTTGCATGGCCTGTGCAATACGGGAAGCGTATGCGGCATGTGTCTCGGTTGTCATTCTTACTGAGGGGGGTATCGTAAAGGAAAACGATACTGAGGTTTACGGGTATAGATGAAGACTACACCAGGTTAAACTTGGCCCATGCACTGATCTCTTGGGCGGCATGCATTTGCATGGTATGCGTCTTTGCTCCGGCATTGTTCCGTTCCACGGACAGATGACTTTCCTTTGTTTTTTTTTGTTCCTGGACTGGCATAGGGATGAGGTTGGTGGGTTGGGAGACAGGCATAATTACGACTGTAACGGTACTTGGGTGATTGGGGAACTGGCTATGTAGTCATGTGTCACGAATATATGTCCTAGCATGTGTACAACATTTCATGATGTCTTCGAGATTCGCGATAACTAGATGTGTACACCTAACAATGATGTGAGGTGGCCCATGAAGTTCTACAAGTGGGAGTAGTAGATATTTATAGGCGTGTCTAGTGCTTACAGTGTTCTTTGTACACTAGTATGTCACCCGGGTGGTAGCCAGTGGTGATGGGCTCGTCACGTGGTGATAACGTTATCGCGGCTGCTCTGACGTTGCGCCGACAGGCGCGGCTATCTCCATGTCAAACTTCGCGACCATAGCCACGTACATGCTGCAAGACTATGCAACCAAGTCGGTATTACCTACAGACCCAACATCTCACCTGAGAGACACTTGAAGTTTGCCACCTGAATGCAGTGCAGGAAGTGACTGATACGCCATCGCGCCTTCCCCCCCGCAATTCCCGGCCTTGAAGCTGCTGTTACCTTCCATTGCGCCTACCGTCATTGACAAAGGCTTGTGCACCCAAAACTGAACCTCTTCGCCTGCACGACGACCATTAATCTGCGTCAGTCGGTTGTAGCACCGACCCATCACCAATCACCCGCTCGCTTTCCGTCTGCGCCATGGGCCGGTCAACGATCCCCCCGGCGCTCAATGAGCTCTCGAATCCCAGCACACCCGAAGCACAGGTTGCCGCGCTACAGAGCCTTAAGAACGAGATAGTCGGACATGAGCAGAGGAAGGAGCTGGCAGTGACACATGGTGTTGTGAAACCGCTCGCAGGATTGCTACGAGCGGAAGCGAGGAAAGGCGGCAAGAGAAGAAGGAACAATGCCACAAACGGACACGGCTCGAGTCTCTTCAGTGAGACTAGGAGGGGCATGGAGGAATGGACCACCGAGGACGAGCTGAGGTTCCAGGCCACACTCGTCGTTGGCAGTCTTGCGAATGGTGAGCGCGCAACGTCCAAGACTTCTGCGTGGAAACGTGTTAGCTAATGCATGAGACATATAGGCGGTCCGGCATTCGTTGCACCATTGCTGGCCGGCGACGTACTATCCCCATTACTAGAAGCGCTGCGACCGAGCGAAACGCCCTCGAAGCTCGTCACCACAGCCCTCAAGACGCTCAATCAGATTGTCGACGCCGCTGTCCAGGAGAAGCCTTGGCTCGACATGTCAGACTCCTCTTCAAGATCTTCCCTCGCCTTTGCTTTCAACGAGTCGATATACACCCGGTCGGTCATTGAGAGTCTTGCCGAAATACTAGCACAGCCGGCAGGGACGTCAAAGGCCAACCAGCAGATAGAATCAGCAGTACGTCTCATAATGAAGACTTGTCAAGAAGATAGTCATAAGAAGATGCTGGTGGACGCGGGCATACTGGATCTCTTGGCTGAAAAACTTGCTGCTGTCGCTGCAATGGACGATCGCATACCCATAACTGAGGCCAAGCAATCACATTACGAGCAGCTCCCTCGTACCTGCTTATCTGATATTATGGAAACCATATCAGCCATCATCAGGGACTCGCATTTCTACACGGCACGCTTCCTCTATTCACAACCAATACAGCAACTCTTCGGGTGGCCGAAAGAACGCGCAACAGCAAACTTTGACCAAAGCAGTGCGTCACAAACACCGTCATGGGAGAAGCTTATACCGCGAGTACAGACAATGGCCAGCAAATCAGATCCGTATATCAAACAATGGCCAGCTCTTGGTGCTTACCCTTCTGCAACAGGAGACAGCTACTCCCGGCTGGAGTCGCAGCAGCCCACTTCAAGTCGGAGCGTCATCACAGATGAATCTGAGTCTCCGCTATTCATATGGCTGATGTATGTAGCGCGTCGGGGCGAAGGTAGAGAGAGGTTGTCTGCCTGTTGGCTACTAGCGTTGCTGAAGAAATTCGGTGACCGATGGCCTCTCAACGACCCATCAAAGACAACACGAGAGCGGCACTTTTCGTATCTGATCATTCCGTTGGTCGAGAAGATGATTGAGGATTCAAGTCCAACGTCGGATCAGGTGAAGAAGGCTCATAACCTGAGCCCAGCGGCAAGGGAGGAACTGCGTTTCGTTTTAGAGCGCTCACCTGTGGTTCTTGCAGAGCTTGTTGCAGGCAATAAGTCGCTGCAGACAGCTGCAGTTCATGCTCGAACCCTACCCACGCTCATCCAAATCCTTAAGAAGTCGTTCGATATACCCACAACATCATCTAAACCTCTCTGGCAGCCGAAATCCGCATCTCACGAGGTAAAAGACTCCGCGATCGACCCTGCATCTTCGACCCTTGGGCGATCAGGACTTAACCCAGATCTATTACATGCATTCAGATACCGGGAGAGCGTTCTTCTCGCACTAGCGGCGATAGCCGGTGACCAAGATTCGTTGCGGAAGATGGTAATCGAGATGGGCGCGGCAACGCACATCATCGAAGCACTAGTTCCGTACAACGAAAACAGCGAGCAGGGTGCGTCTTCTTCAGCAAAGGATGGCAACCCCGACCCCGTACTCATTGCTGCCTGTAAAGTCACGCGGTCACTATCAAGATCAGTCAGTGTGCTCAGGACGAGCCTCATCGATCATGGCGTTGCACAGCCCATCTTTGAGCTTTTGACACATCCCAATGTCAAAGTACAGATTGCAGCTACTGAAGTCATCACTAACCTGGTCTTGGACGTGTCACCCATGCGAACGGTAAGTACAGCAATGACAGCCTAATCTTTCGCAAGCTAATATTGTCTAGGAGATTCTCGAGTCTGGAGTGCTGGGCACGTTGTGCGAGCAATGTCGATCGGCCAACTTTGACCTCCGATTTGGCAGTCTTTGGGCTTTGAAACATCTCTGCCTCGGGCTGCCTCATGCGATGAAAATTCAATGTTTGGACGAGCTCGGCGTGGGCTGGTTGGTACAAGTGCTAAATGGGGAGCCATCCAAACCAGCCATGGGCACACCCAACGCAGCTGGGGAGCAGGTTGATATTCTAAACGCAGTTGATGAGCCTCGTATGGATGTGGATGAAGAGGCCTCTTCTGAAGACGATGATGCAATGACTGAAAGCATACCATCCATGCGCCGGCACCCGCGTTCCGGTTCACGCTACACAAGTGCAACAAATATCCGCGATCGTTTGCAACAGATAAAGAATGATGAGCAGGATAATCGACTGAACGGAGAGCGCGACGATATTCGCATACAGGAACAAGCTCTAGATTTTATCCGGAACTTTGTCTCGGAAGATAAAGCTTCTGGCGAGATGATTGATCACCTCCTCAAGACTTTCGGACACAGCCGGTTCTTTGAACTTCTTGATGCTAAGATCCGACCGAAGAACTCTTCCATGTCATCACAATCACAAGCCAGTCCTGGCACACCCAGCTACTGGCTGAGCAACAGCCACCGCACAACTTTCACACAACCTTCGAATAACCTCGCGCAACCCAATTGGGCCGCCTACCCTTCCACTGAACTTATATTGGCAACTATCTACATCCTTGTGCACCTTGCCAACGGCCGCCCACAACATCGCTCGCTCCTAATCTCTCAAACTACACTGATGCAACATGTTCTCCCGCTTTTTTCACATCCACGCCGAGATGTCCGCGTAGCTTGTGCATGGATGCTACACAATCTTGTGTGGATAGAAGACCACACCGATGAAGCAGCAACAAGAGAACGTGCAATGAGCCTGAGACAACTCGGCTTCGAGGAAGGCGCAAAGCAACTAGGTCGCGATATGGACCTTGATGTCAAACAACGGGCCATTGTTAGTATCGAGCAATTCGACAAGTTGCTCAATGGCGGCCACGGTCGGAGTGGCTTCGCTAGTCCCGGTGGTTATGGTGGTGGTGATGGTGGTGGTGTTGGCGGGTTGGGAGGAATGAGCGGTAGACTGGGTGGAATGCCTGGATGGAGGAACGACTCTCGGGGCTGATGGAATTTGTACTGATGCATTTTCTGGCGCGTTAATGTTTGCATCAGCGTGGGTATTTGTAACGGTATACGGTCGAGCGATGGAAATTGCTAATATTCGGATTTGATCTGAATGAATGAGAGGGCGTGGCGGATACATCAATGAATCCTGCTTCTTCGTATGCGGTTGCTGTGTTGTCGCAGGCTGTTTACTGCGTCCTTAATGTCGTGGCAAGACTTGGGATCTTGTAGATAGATCGAAGATATGCATGGCGGCCGAGATTTTGATATAACCCACTGTATTAAAAGCATGTGGGAATGAATCGTATGTAGTTCTAGCGCCCAAAATCCTTGAGGAACAGTGTCATGAGATACACACCCTCTCTAGCAACATCTTACACTCACATAACATGGCCTCCCCGCGCTTAGAATTTTCGGGCTGCCGCATATATAAACTGTTCTTTTCTCTCTTCTCTCCTCTTCTCCTATACTCTACACTTCTTTCTGAAAAGCCTATAGTTTCTAAAACTTGGACAACATCGGAAATGTCTTTCTTTCCACTTCTTGAAAATAAAAAATGTTTGGATAGGAAGGAATGTTTGTTTTCATACTTTCTAAACAAAGCGTCGCAAAACGTATGTGGCTATTTGCGGTTCCTAAAAAAATGGAGTCGCTATACCTATGTATTCCTTTGTAGTTTCTAAAACTCAAACATAAGCACAGATGTGCTTCTTCCTATTTCTAAAAATCCGCAATGGTATCACAACATGTGTTCCTTCCCGTTTCTGAAAATCCGTCCTTATATATTTAAATGTGTTTCCTTCCTGTTTTTAAAAAATGTCACTTCAATCTCAAAATGTGTTTCTTTCCGACTTTAAATTGGTATATCCTAAAAAAGAATGGTTCTGCCTTTCTCCTCCTTTCTTGTTCCTTAAAATCCCTCGAAATTCCCTAGTTTACCGTTTGAAAAATCAAAAGTTGTGAGCCACAGATTTCATAACTGCGGCTTTCTGTGGTTTCCGAAAAAAGTGTTCTGTGGTTTCGAAACTGCTTGAAAATCAACTTAAGAAGAGACTATGGCTGTGGCTTTCTGTTTTTTTCTCTAAAAGAGCCATGTTGTACGGTATTAAAAGACGCATCCGATAGCGTTATGTGTAACTGCGGATTTCTGCGGATTTCTAGACACGTGGTTTATATAAGACCGAGGATAAAAATCGCGCACTGAATAGCTATATGAGTGTGGCTTTCACTGGTTTTCTAGAAATTCATCTATAATGGGATCTGAATTACTTGAAAAGACTAGTTAACACGAACTTACGGGTGCTGTTCCCTGGATTTTTCTAAACACCTGATTTCTATGAAACCGATAAATTCGCTTTCATCACGCTAATGGGTGTGATTCTCTCTGTGTTTCTAAAAAAATTCTTTTGTACGGTATTTGAAATACTTGAAAATTCAGAGAAGTTTAGATATGGGTGTGGCTTTTCGGGAATTCCCCCGCACCTGGTTCCATGATACTGTGGATAGAAAATCATCGATAGACTCGTCACATGCTGCGGTTCTCTCTGGTTTTCTGAAAAGAAAAAAGCCACATTCATTGATGTTCAAAATATTTCAAAATGTCAAAGCATATCGAGGTATGGGTGCTGCTTCCTGGAGGTTTCTATGTATTATTATTTTTTACGAAGGAGGCTAAAATCTATATAAAGCCTCTGTATGACTGACTGCGGCTTTGCTGGGGTTCCTGAAATCATTCGGTGATATTTGAAACAACGTGGTTGGCAAGCGAGTCGGTCAGACAAGCGAGTCGGTCACCCCACCAACTTTAATCACCTACTCTATCTCAACACATAAT